CACTTTTAATTTGCCCTAAGTCAATTTCATCATGAGAGACTAATGCAGAAAAGGGTGAAAATGACCACACGGACTAAAAAGAAATAATAGAAACCCGGATCTAGGACAAACTGCGGGGTATCCCTGAAGAAAAAGGCTGGTTGGCCCAAGAATAAAGTAAATGAATACTTGAATTCAATGGAGATTATGGGAGTGCAACTTCTTGATCAATTATGTTTGGACGAGCAAGCTACTGGCAATACGAACGAGGAAAAGAAGGGCGCTGAGTTGAAAATCCTGGCAACCAAAGTAGTAAACGATATTCTCAATTCCAAGTTTCTCGATCGCAGCGTTGTAGCCGACGGAAAAAGCGACAAAAAGCTCAAGGTTAGAAAATGGAGCGAGACTGCATTTGTTCAGCCAATAATTCATGCCATCATCTACCGGGTGCTTGACATTGTTGATCTCGGTTTTCTTTATGTTTCAAAGGAGCAGAGAGTACGACGGGAAAGAGAAGATGACAAGGAACGCGTAATGGACTTCTTGGTTCATAAATTTCGAGAGAACCTTTTCTGTGCCATGCCAAGCATGATTGAATGTATAGTTGAAGTCAAGCGGTGTGGAAATACTTTCAACGAGGACAAAACAGAAATCAAAATGGCGGGCATCCAAATAATTGGAAACTTTGCCAAGCGATTGCGGGGAGACCTCAATTTTCTCAGCATTGGTGTGGATTGTGAGCTCTATGGGGTCGCCATTTCGTTGTCCAAAGTGTCAATTGTAAAGGCATCGCTACAAAACGTTGGAACAGAAAATGTTGCAGTGTTGTTTCGCAAGACCAAAGCATTTGATTTGCTTTCTACAAAGGGCCTTGAGATGCTGGCACTTGCTCTGAGTGCTAGTTACAAAATGTCCGAAGCAAAGCATGACATCGCCACCATCAAAGCATATATCCATGAAGGCGAAAATCAGAATAATGCAAGGATCGGGATGTCCATTGACAGGTTTTTGGGTTCGGGAGCATTTGGAAGCGTTTACAAAATTCGCAAGACTACTGTCGGACAGGAGGGACCAGAGTGTTTTCTGAAGATACCAAATTCGCACAGGGCGTTACATTCGTTGAAGGAGGAGGCAAAAACCTTGCGCCGCTTGAACGAACAAAAGGAAGAATCGCTGACAGTGCCAAACATCCCTTTATGCAGCGCAGGAAAACAATTTGATATCGCAATGAATGGCTTCAAAAGCAAGACTTATGGCCTGATTCTCAATGGGATGATTGGTAAACCTGCCAGCGCTTTCAACTGGAAATCGGAAGGGTACAAGGAGCTCCTACCATCAGTCATCAGGAATGTGCATGCTACTCTAGACGCTGCACACAAAAATTCTGTGTATCATCTCGACGTTCGTCCTAGCAACATTATTGTGCCTACCACTGCAGACAAGATGACAAAAGATATCAAGGTATTGGTGATTGATTGGGGTGTTGCAATCTCCGATGACAAAAAGTTCCACTTTCGGGGCTGCGTTCCATACGCTCATGATGAGCTTCTTGCAACAGTCAGAATGGAAAAGAAAGCGAAGTCGGAGCATGATTGGGCTCTTTGGCGGCTAGGATATTAGCTCCTGTATTGATAACGACCTGTTGATACTATAACAAACCATACATCAGTATTCCTATATTAATTCATATCCATTTAGAATTCTGTTTGGGTTATGAGCTGAATCATATTGCCTTCAGATCTGGAAAGATTCACAGATCCCAATAGGATTTGTGTTGCTCTTTCCCTATACCTCTGTATTGACTCAACACAGAGTGTCAAAAGGGATAAAATCCAGTTTTGCTTCCATAAGAAAGCTTTCCAAACTTCCCAGAATAGTCTAGAAGCTTGGCATCTGCGCTTTCATACTTCCTGAACCATTCAATGGTATGGTCCTTTAGTCATATGGGAACACCCAATTTCCACAATTGGTCATGGATCAGATCCAAGAAATAAGAATCCTCCAGTTCTCCATTAATCAAAATGGAAATTCAAGGACTCCCAACACTGAATCAACGTTGGACAAGTTGTCAAGATGTCAGCTAGCAAATCTCCAAGAAACAGCACACGCAGCTGCTGTGATCAGACGCAGTCTGAAAACTCATGTTTCCAAACAAATCAGGCAATTTCAAGTTTTTTGTTTTTATCATGACATGATTCCAATAACATCTCAGCTGCTGTGTGAGATTATGAAATCTCTCAATCGGTCAACAAGTAACTCCAGGCGTGAAATTGACAAAATGTATTTGAAATCAACAAATAATTGAAACAATCAAAAAGTGAAATTCCTTGTTCCGGTTGGAACTATCCCTGATGAGGGCCAAGGCTGTATGCCTTCTGTGCCAAGTTGCATTACAATCAAGCCGGAAGTCAAGCTGAAGGCTTAATTCCAATACAAATGATCAAGAAGCGGAAGGCTTTGTTCTAGTTGGAACCATCCTCCCCAGTCATGATGATGGGTGTTACAGGTAAATTGAGCTGTGTGCTTTCCCAATCTTAACAACTATCTATTCCTAGATTTCAATTTCACTCTATCAAATACAGAGCAGTCTTTTCAAAAGGAATGAGCTGAGTTGCGGCTCTTGTACCGTTTACCAACATATTTCACAACCTCTTTTGTACATAGCTTATCACTATCATGCTTCTGTACCTTCTTCGCTTACATACTAGGGCATTTGAATCAGTCTGTCCCTTGCAAGCAATCACCTATAGTATGACTTGTGGTTGACGTTCAAATTCTGAAAGTATGCATCATGTCTGTAAACATCTCTGGCAACTTTGGCATATTGCTGAATTGTGTTTTGGCCTTTAGCCTTCGGAGGCGTCCTCTTGCTTGTTTTCATGCAACCGACAGACGCAACAGGACGATCTACAGACTTTGGCTGAAGTACAATATCTAGTTGTCTTAGTTGAATTGAACTTTGATTGTAGATAGAGAGGAACCAAATACAGTAAGAAGCAGTAAGCTAAGAGTAAAACTTCCAACGTTGGAAATGTATGTCTTTCTTGTTGTGAATTTGCATTGTTTCACCATCATCTGATCATGGCATTTCTGTTATATGTGGTCATGATGCATTTGTTGCTATCATGCTTTGATTGTACCAAATGTCCACCACTCACAGACCACCCCATACGCCCATCAAACACAAAATTCCCGTTTGTCCCTTTGATTCACCCAGTATAGATAATCCCCAACTGCTGTCACATCCAATAGCTTTCATGTTCTTGTCCCTTTGTTTCCCTCTCTAGCATTGATTTTCTCTTAGCAGTCTCTCCATAGTTCATAGTTCATTTGTTCGTCAACTCTTTACCAAACTCCAGTTCCTGTCTTGGTTTGAGCTGTTGCTGGCATCCTTGCTGTTCACATTTCTTGCCCTACAGTCGGTCATTTTCCTATTACCCCTGACAATGATGCATTTGATGTGTTGCATTTGTTGTCCCCTTAAGTAAAGATAGTTAATGGTCTTCGCCCATGGCTCAAGCTGCCCGCTAGATGGTTCCAACCCAAAGCCATCTTGGTCTTCCTTATAGTAGCTACCAGCCATTGCACGATTTGATCACGCGACCTACTTTCTGCCCATGGTACTTGATTGATTTGTGTTCAGCTACCTGCCTTATTAGACCTCTTGTTTCTTTGGTGCAAAAGGATCTGGAACATTTGCTTTGTCAGTTCTACCACAGTGCTGAAAGATGTCAGCGTGATCCTGGAGTAAGGAGAACACAACTGCAGTCGGCTCTAGACATGTCCACCAGAGCAAGTCAATCCCGGCAAAGTATTTGATGGACAAAGCACAATGGGAGATCAAAGGCCCCAAGCCAAGTGAGATGGAACAGTTTGTGGACTCCACTTCAATGCCATATTGACCCCCTTGATTGACCTTCAGTGTATGACACACTTCCCTTGCATCGCAATAGCAATTCATTTGGAGTTTTTTAGGCTTTTGCTGTGTTTCACCCCTTTCCAAAGCGCTTGAAGCGACAGGATTTGTTCTCTACCTCTTGGCAAAGATGTCTTGTCAAGAAATGGGTTGGAACTCAAGTACAAACGCTTAAGACTCTTCATCATGTGCAGCTTGGTAACAGATTTCATGATTGATTTGTGGCTGATTTTGTTGCATTGTAGATCCAACAGTTGGATCTTATAGTTCTCCTTGCACAACATAGATTCCAACAAGGATAGATCACAAATTGTGTTGCCATAGAGTGACAAAACGCTCAAGTTTGGAAATACATTGCAAACACCTTCCAAGTCATGGCTTGAAAGATTGGTAAATATCTCTTCAAATTGTTGTAAGGTTCTGTTCTCGAACACTTTCCTTCCAGGCGTACTCGTGCTGAATGCGGGCAAGTGTGATGCGCCACAAATCTGTAGCTCTTGCAATCTGCAGTTGCAAAAGTGACGTCATCATATCAAACAAATCAAACTCGAGCATCAAGGGGCCTCTTGTTGGCACTCCTTGCACATGAGACAATGTGGTTGGTTTCTTACTTCACTGTGGATATTGTTCTGTACCTAATGCTCTCACTGGGAAATGAAACCCTACCGCTCCTCCCCTTTATGCAGCAGAATGGAAATGCACCGCGTTTGGGACAATTTGCATCCAACACAAACAGTTGATATTTTGTGCGGTTGACGCAGATTCAAGCACAGGGCACACTTCCCCAGCTCATCATGAATAACTAGTCTCCCAAGATAGTGGGTTGGAAGGATGGTATCATCTGGGACTACTGCCAGTTGCTCCCGCTTTTAGACAATCCGATTTTAATAGTGCTCGGCCAGATGTTGCTTCATCTCCAAGAGGTTTGAGGCACCTTTGCCATACAATGAACCGGGACAGAAATATTCACAATCCAGGAGGGGTTCGGCCATGGGTCCGAGTCTAGCAGCTATGGAACCAAGGGTTGGAGACAGCAGACGCTTCATATTAAGTTGGTCATCTTCAGCCATTTGATCATTGTATCTGGGGCTAACAGCCAGTCTATCTACTGCATTAGAATCCATTGCAACCCTAAAGAGCTATTGCATAGTCTACCAAGGGTATAGTCCACATCTGCAGTCATAATGTGTACTGGCTTACAGGCTTTCAGCTTTAGCGACTTGGGCGTCAAAGTCAATGCAACAAGATGCTCCTGTCAAAGGTCCATCCCATCTAAGTCCTTGGGTAGACATTTATCATTTGCGAAATCTATTGGTGAGTGTTTTCAGGATTTTGACAGGTGCCCGCTCATCCTCAAAGACTTGATGCTTATTTGGTCAAATTTGTTTTAGCAACAACATACTTTTATAGGTAGTCCCTTGCTTTCTATTGTAGATTCTCTTCAAAGTCTATCAACATCTATCCTAATTAGTCAATTCTAAAGAAAATGGGTACCTCATAGCCCTTTCATGGCTCCTCCAAATTGCCCATTGTATTCAAGAACCAAGACAGATCTTCGTTTAATGTCCCCATCACACAACTCAGTTCATGAATTATAAACCAAACAAATCCAAAGTATAGTTCATTCTTGGACGTTTTGTCACCAATCCATGAAAACTTCAATGTATCCAACACCCTGTAGTGGATTCACAATTGTCATGGATAAAGTACTGGAAATGTTTTCTCAACAATGTTGTAGTGTTTGAGCTGAAAGCTCAACAATCTCATCTGATAACGTGGAAAAGCGAGTGGTTTTCAGCTTACAGGCAATAGAGAAGGGATTCGTTTGTTGCCTCATTCTGGTCGTTGAATGCTGGCTTGAATTGTTGCTTCAAAGTTTGGCAGCAAGTTTTGGGTTCAAATGGGCATTTTGGAAATTTCTCCTGCATCCAATCTTCACACAACCACTCCATTTGGGTGACTTGTTTGGTTCCCTCTTTGGTGGCATTGGTGCAAATTTGGGATTTCTGGAGGTTGTTGTTGACAAGCAACAGTGGACGGACCAAGTGTGCAGGATTTTTGGCGAGGCATGGAATTTTGGTCATTTTGGTCAAAAAAAATATTGCCACAGCTTCGGCCAGTCATCATTATTGACAACAGTTGAGATTTAAGTTGTTGCTTCAGTTTGGTTGCGTAGGAAGGCTGTGGCTTGAACAAGGCACTTTCCTCTTGACAAGTATGAAAACTTGATGTTGTCAAATATTTACATCTACAAATTATTGGTACATTTATTGCGTCAAGGTATAGTTATGATATCCCCATATGGGGATATCCCCCCGACGCCCAATCGGTTAAGCCGTGACAACTGCAGATTGCAAGAGCTACAGATTTGTGGCGCATCACACTTGCCCGCATTCAGCACGAGTACGCCTGGAAGGAAAGTGTTCGAGAACAGAACCTTACAACAATTTGAAGAGATATTTACCAAT